TTTTTTACCAATTATAGAAGTGAGAATATTTACATTGCAAACTTTAACAAAAACCCTTTAAATGATATATATATTTTGAGTAATAAGGAAGAATCTCACCCATGTCATGTAAGAGTAGCTCATATCCAAATGAATAAACTGAATAAGTTGGTTTGCAAAAAGCTAGTAATCGGTTCACCAAACTTACATTTTAAAAAACATGGATTATGTGATGTGTGCTAAGAGGGTAAATAAGTAAATACTTCTTTTAAATCTAAAAAATGTTATTTCTAAAAATATACCTTTACAATTGTTACATATGGACCTTTTTGCCTCTTCCAAAACCATGAGTTTTGGCGGGAATTATTATGCCCTTGTAATTGTGGATGACTACTCTCACTATACATAGATGATATTCATATATCATAAAAGAGACATATTTGCTTCCTTTCAAAAATTAGCTAAGTTTATCTAGAACAAGAAAGGACTAAACATTGCATCGATTTGAAGCGATTATGGTGGTGAACTCCAAAATGTGTATTTCAAGAACTATTGTTATAAGAATGGAATCGAGCACACCTTTTCTACTCCACAGACTCCCCAACAAAATTGGGTAATGGGATGGAAAAATAGATCTCTTGAAGAGTTAGAGAGGACAATGCTTAATGAGACTAACCTTCCTAAGTACTTTTGCGCTGATGCAGTAAACATTGCTTGCTATGTGATGAATTATGGTTTAATAAAAACCAATATAAAACAGACTTCCTAGGAATTATACAACGGAAGAAAGTCTAATATTTATAACCTCCATGTGTTCAAATGCAAATGTTTTGTTCTCAATGACAAAAAGGATAATCTTGGAAAGTATGACGCTAAAACTAATGAACAACTACTTTTAGGATATTCCATTTCAAGTAAATCTTTTAAAACTTTCAATGAAAGAAACTTTTCTATAGAAGAATTAGTTCATGTGAACTTTGAATAGTTTAACCCAAAGTTGATAGATGTAGATGTGGTTCACTGTGTCATACCCTAAAATGTGCCCTACCTTCTTTCCACTTTTCATCTGACCTTTGATTGTCACTTCATCTGCATACTCATATATATCTAGATCATTCATTCCCAATTTCATTCATTCATAAGAATCATAAATTCAAAGGTTGTTGTTCACGGTACAAGTATTTTATTTAAGACAAGTAACTTGGCAAACTCCTTGGGATAAGGGTCCTTTTATGGTGTTCTTGAGAATCTAGCATGCAGTATCTTGGTGCTACAATTGGCTGGTGATGATCATTTCTCTTGGGCTTAAACTTTTGGGACCTTAATTTTGGTCTTTGATATTTGTGGATCATGTGAACTTCACCATGGCACTGGATCTGATTCTGGATTACAAGTGATGGGCTAATCTCTCTATGGGATTTTATTACATTATTTCATTGGTAATTTGGTATGGATTCAAAAAAAGGCTTTGCAATTCAGAATAAGTTGAAGAAATCAAGATTTAGTCATTCAAACTCAGGATGTACTCAAGTTCATTCAAGTACAAGTTCATATATTCAAACCAAGATTTTGAGGGATTTCTCTTAAAACACAAGACATTCATTTCAAAAGCCATTTCATTACAAAAACATTCAACATTCCATTACAAAGAGTCCAAAACCAATTACACAATTTTGCATCATTTAACCTACAATTGACTTTTGGTCAACTATTGACTTTTTGGTCAAACGGTTGACCAAAGTCAAATGACCATCCTAGGCCCTGCTTGTTTCATCCCTTCATGAGTCTTCCATGTTTGAGTTCTCGAATCTTTAAGTTTCTTCATGACTCGCCCAAATGTCGTTTCCACCATGTGCTAATCCTGCAAAACCATGTCATACACAATGCACAGTTAAAGATCCACTCACATAAGCCAACAAATCATAACATAGCAAAAAAATATAAGTTTTCGTTCTGGTAACCGGTTACCTACAACATGGTAACTGGTTACACCTTCTTTGCACAACTTCTTTACATAGCCCAAAACCCTTGTTATTGGGTTGGTAACCGGTTACGATAACCAATTACACATGCACTTACACTTGCTTTGCACAACTTCTTTACACATCCCAGAACCCCTATTATCAAATTGGTAACCAGTTACGGTAACTGTTTAAACCTGCACTTACGCATGTGTTACAACCCCAAAACTAGCCAAGAACACTTGCTTTCGAGTTGGTAACCGGTTACCCAACATCATGTAACCGGTTACACCTGAACCAGTGGCAGTTTTCAGCTTCTGTTTTAGCATTGTAGTGTCATTTTCCATAAACCAATTGCACCTAAAAGTCATGTAACAACCAATGAAATAATGCAGTAGTAACAAATAAACTACTTCACACTATGAATCAAGCATTCCTACACTAACATTCATCAATAATTGAGCTAAACTCACTCATTCCAATCCTAACATTAAGCCAAGCTAAATTCCATAACAGTCTCTGCATTCAACACTTTAATAATAGTTCTAACTAACAATTTAACAGCTCACTAACATTGTTAACTCTTGCAACAAATTTTCTCTTGAAATCCATTAACACTAACTGCTACCCTAACCTCTAACAAAGCTGCCCAGAAATTTTGACCAAACAGTTGGGAAATTCATCTATATAAACTCATGACTCTCTTCAATCTCACAACTTAGATTATTTCACACTACAAACTCAAAATTCACTCTCTTAATTCATCTTCTCCAATTTCTCTCCCTAGACCAAAGCTCTACCACCATTATAGCTAGCTTCACCTTGAAGGTTGTCACCATTTGAGCTAAGCCTCCTACATTCTACACTAGTATCACAGTCACATAATCATCAATAACAACAACCAATTCAGAATTTTCAAAATTATTTCAAGCAGAAAAAGAAGTTTATTGCAAAAGAAGAAAAGTGAAGGATTAAAGTAGCATACCTCTGGTTTTCTTCATCTTCATATTGCAACAATTTCCAAGACAATCCTCCGCCTTGTAGGTTGATGAATTTATCTTTCGCCTCTGTTTGCTAAATTCTTAGAAAATGCATGAATTTGGTTAATTATAATAGTTTATTTTAGAATTTAATTGATTTTAATCTTAGATTTTATTTTCTTCATGTAAGTTCATTAGAAATTAGGTTCTAACATGATTAATTCCAACTTTTAGTGCCTTATTAATTTCTTGCATTTCCATATGCTTATTGTATGTTTTGACATGTTCACCCTTTGATTAGTTGATAGAGTTCATTCTTGATTAATTAATTCATTTAGTATTAGCCTTTTAATCATTGGCACACTTTCCCCCATTCATTCAAGTCGTCATAAATCTCTTGATCATTTGAGTGGGTTGCACCTCGACATTGACACCGCACCAGATTTCAAGTTCAAGACTCCCTTTGCAAGATCTTGAAGACGTACTGGACATCAAGGCGTTAACCATTCTGGGACTCCAACCTTTTTCTTTTCTTTGTTAATTTTTAAGACTAAAATCTTTTTTCAAATAAATTCAAAAACACTTAAAAATACGATTAGAATTGTGCATCATGAGCCTTAAGCAACGGAGAAGAATGAGAGAGATTATTCTTATCCTTATTCTGAGTATCTTTGAATACGAGACGTAGGTCCCAATTATTCAAAGTATTCGCCTCCGTTCATAGACTTTAGTTCAATTCAAATTAAGACCATCTTTTTCAAAGCTAAAAATCAATTACAACTCATCCAACTCATTTTTTCGCCTTAGGGCATTCCCAAAAACTTTTTCATAAAGGACATATTATTTATGTTCTAGTACAATACAAACAACGCTTAAGTCTCCCATGCACGAATATACAAGCAACGTTTAACTACTAGAATGTGAACGTTAACATCATCCACTAAAAACAACCAACAAACACTTACTTTCTACCCTGAACTACAGAGCTCTGACTTTCTTATTGAACTATGAGATTACGTAGGCACAAGATTAAGAAATCTTGGCGAGCACACTAATTAAAAACTGTTTTCCCATTTCTCAATTAATCTTTAGATAATAGCACCCATCTGTGTAAATAGCAATTAAAATGGTTCTCGTTGAGTACAACGGATGTTAGTGATGCTAATACCTTCCCCTTGCATACCTGACTTCCGATCCCGAATTTGGTTGCGACAGACATTTTCTTTACTCTTTTGGGATTTTATCGATATTTTCCCTTTCCTTTTAAATAAATAAAGTTCGGTGACGACTCTGTATTTTTCGCGTAACGACAGACTGTCTAGGTATCTTATAAAAAAATATCTAAAAAACAAAGATCAAGATAAAAATCAAAATCAAAATCAAAAAGGAGATCATCAAAATAAAAATAAAAACATTGAACACGAACTACTTCTTAAAGAATGGTTTTTTATGCACCTTAAGTATGTTTAATAAATTTTAAATAATCACTTATTAGCTTGTTCAATCTATAAAAAAAATAATAAATATATTATATAGAAGTACTATTGTATATGTTCTAAGTTATAATTTATAAAACATCCATTTTAAAATTTAAGTTATATATATAAATTCATAATGTCATTTTTACGTGAGAACATGAGAATGAATTAGATGGTTTGTTGGGTATGAGAAGGAGCATCAATTTGGACCAAAAATGACACAAGTGAGAAAAACACCACGTATTCATCTAAAGTCTTAAGATGATAGGTGCATAGGTTCTCCCACTTATAAATGTTCAACTCTTTACAATTATAACCAATGTGAAACTCCAATTCTTATTTGTTATATTATTCTCAACACCCCTTTCAAATGTGAATCCATAATGCTCATCTTAAATGTGAGTTCACAATACTCTCCTTAAATGAAAACTCTTGTCCTCATAACGGATTCATGTTCTTATGAAAATGACATTTAAATTAGTACCGCATAGCAATTAATTTCCAAAACAAAATATTGTTAATAAATAAACATAAAAATACATGTTTAAGTATCCTCACTTCCAATAAACAAATAGTTTATTTGAGTATACCTCTCTATTACACTATTTTGAAAATTGAATGACCCTATTGTAATAGCTTTTAAGAATCCGACTAATTGTTTCAAAGGATGGTCTGGTGGAAGGATTTCCATCCCAACAAAGACGTATAATGTCAATCAATTCTCCCAACTGCTCACCATCATCCCTTGAAGGAAGCATAGGTCGTATCTTCCCCTCTACAACTTCCATAGCAATCTAAAAAATATACATACAAGAAAATGTTACAAAAAAATATTAAACTAAAATTCATGATCAATATGATGACGACGACGATTATGATACCTTGGCAGGACCATATTCTGTTTCAATATAAGGATGTTTTCCTGTTAAAAGCTCATTCAATATCACTCCAAAACTATATACATCACATTTTTCATTATATGGCTCACATCGTATCACTTCTGGTGACATATACACATATGTTCCTGAAAATATAATTAATATATTATATATTCAAATTTTAACCAAATAAAAAAAATATATATCTACAAATTAATTTATATTTATTGTTAAACTTGCCTGTTTCTCCAGTGAGAGCCATTTCACCCTCTCCTAAGAAACGGGCATGTCCAAAATCAGCAACTCTAACATGCAAATTAAAGTCCAAGAAAATGTTGCTGGGCTTCAAATCACGATGAACAATTTTGGGCTTTTGTTCATGAAGATATTGCATAGCTTGGGCTATTTCTAAAGCCCGTAGTACTCTTTCTTTCAAAGGAGGAAGTGGCACAATTCTATCTCTACGCCTTTTTCCAGGACCATAAAGCCATTCCTTAAGTGTGGTGCTTAGAAACTCTGTAACAACCCATGCATGGTTAGGAGGGTTAAGACATGCACCCATTAGGTTAAGCACAAACCTGTGACGTTGCTTTGAGAGAGTTTCAACTTCTTGAGCAAAGAATTCAACCCCGTTTCCATTTGTGTGAAAGAATTCAGGTGAAATGCATTTCACTGCTACATCAAATCCGCGCCATGTTGCTCTGTAGATGTCCGCTGTTGTTCCTTGTCCTATTTTATCTTCTAACTGAATCTGTTCGAGTAAATTTTATATATATTATTCTGAGTTTAATACATCAGATACATTAATTATTTAATAAATTTAAAAATAATTTTTTTTTATAAATATGATCAGATCGAATATAATACTAACCTCTGAAGGATTAATATACCATCCGTTGGTTTTGGCTTGATCAGTTATGGCCTCTAGATTGGGGTGGTGCTGATGGATAGGAGTGGGGATTTGAGGACTATTGATGATGGAGGTGACATTGTAAGGTGATTGTTGGAGTTCACCTTTTGTGTGAATAATTTGTTCTAAGATTCCATTTTCTTGTGCTATTTGGAGGCAGTACCTTAAATAATCTTGGGTCCTTTCCATTCTTTTTCTATACATTACTCTCAGTTCTGTTTGCTTTTGCACCTCCTTTTCCATATCTGCCACCTACTTGTGCCACAAAAGCAACACATATATATCATTGAGATATCATTTTGTGTATGTATGTAATTAACATTAAACAGTCTTAAGATATAATTTTGTGTATGTATATAATTAACATTAACTTTTCATATTTCAAGAGACATATATCTATCATTAAGGGGTTTAAGATTATAAAAAAAACACTAAATATGTTTAATAATATATACCTTGACTTCCAAACTCTCATAACGCTGTTGGAGCTGATGCTGTTGAACCGTCGTTGTGGTGGATGCCACAGTCTTCACGCTGGTGAACCCTCGACAACAACCACCACCCGAAAACGGGCTAAGCGGCTCTTGCTTCGTCCTCGAATTCGACTTCGAGGATTGCCGAGACAGGCTCTTCTGAGTTTGAGGACTGTTTCTCATATTCATATTTTTCTTTTCTTATGTATCCAGCAAATTACGCAAGTTAAATTTCTGTACGAGGATTCAATATTGAGCTGTGAACTTGTGGTGCAACATAAATGGAGATAGTGGTTTTAACCTTTGTACCGTTCTTTTTTTGGTGCCGAAATAGCACACGACAATTGTGACGGACTTTGTGATGAACATTGAAGAAACCAATATGATGATTGGTACGCAAATTGCATTCGGTCGTTTTCATATTCAAATATCAATACTTTATCATGGACAACAGGGTAATGCTGTTTGCTATTCTTTTCAATAATATTTATATTTTTATCATATTTTCATTAAAATAAAAAGCGTCGAAAATCTTTTTTTTTTCAGTTTTAATACAACTATATTTTCCAGTTCTAAATTAATGTTACGGACATCACGATGAGATTATAATTATTTATTGATTTAAATACATTTTTTGTTTATTATTTTTAAAAAGTTTAAGTTCTTATCCTTCATCTTTACAGTCCAGTTTTATAGCTTACTAATTTGAATTTTCATAAATTTGGATCTTTCATTTTATTTTCGCATTGATTTTGATAGCATGTTAGCATATGTGGAAGAGCTAAATATTGTTGAAGTGTTATATTAAATCTGTCTATCATCTACCGCTGATTAAATATAGAAAAAATAATATTAGAATTTAAGGTAAATAACTAAATGATATTATTAGATTTTTGTAAATAGTTATTTATTAGTTGTTGCGGATAATTATCTATTTGGGGAGTGTGGAGTAGTTGATTTATGACGATGAGCACGAGCGGCTCATTTTTATACTTTTACGTGAAAGTTATGTTTGTTATCCGTTGTGGTTTTGAACACTCAGCCCACAACGGAGACGGTTGACCAAGTGCTGGAGACTCATTATAAAAATTCTCCTCTACAAGAAGGACATATATTCTATTTTGTACTATTTCTTACTCACCTTTTCATCCAAACTGACTTAAGCGTCGGAGTGCCTACATGTATATCCCTCTTCTTCATCGATCGTTCAAGACTGCGGATGTCTTACTGACCACTCACTTATTCTGATCAGCCGTTCGGATCAGTAGCGCCATAGATCAAAACAAAAAAACCTTAGAAATCAATCATGGTCGGTAAACACGACGACAACAACGCGGGTTACGAAACCGTCCTCTCTCCCGTCCACGACACCGACAACAACAACGGTATGCCGCTTTTGGAGGAAAGCACTCCAATAAGGAGAGACGGACGCACCACCTCCCCCTCCCCTGACGATGCGGCCGACCACGACATCCAATACGTCGAAACTCGCAGAGTCCAGAAAGCTTCGGAGAAGACACTGGAGAAATTTCAATCGATTCCGGTGCCACCCAACGCCAACCCGACCATGGCAGCCCTGTTCACAGTGCTTAACCGGACCAACGCGTTGATATATCAACAAAATGAAAGGATTGAAGCTTTGGAGAAGGACCTTCGTTAACGCTCTCCCCCGCGGAGCACCAACGGTATGAATCCTGAAGCCCGTCACCGCGACGACCAGGCCGTCACCCATAGTTGGAAAGGACACAACCCTTGAAGCACAATCGAACTCCCCGCGAGGATCGACGCTCCCCGGGTGCCAAGAAAAGCAGAGCCAACAGACGACCAGATAATCATCGTTCGCCTCTACAGAAACCGAAGGGCCGAACAAAGGACTCGCTGCCACACCGCGATGACAATCCTCGGCGAGAGAAGTACGACCATTATCTGTCGCGGTCACTGGTTTGAAGTGACGAAGACGACTGTCGTGGTTCATTATCTCAAGCAGTCATGGACGCTCCCCTTCCCGTCGGCCCGGAAAAACCACCGAACTTGGGAACATACGATGGAACGACGAATCTCGACGAGCACAATGAAAACATCGATGCTCTGCTCGATTATTACGGTGTCAGAGGCGTCATCAAATGTAGGTTGTTCCCTACTGCTCTGAGGAAGGGTGTCATGACCTGGTACAAGAGCCTCGCTGACGAATCTATCACTTCCTGGAGAGACTTGAGGAAGCAGTTTTCAAGGCACTTCACCTCTTCTTGTCACCATCCAAAGTTAGAAGCGACGCTCGAAGCAATCGTGCAGGGGAAAGATGAAACCCTCCGAGCCTACATTGAGAGGTTTAATCAGGAAGCTGTCCAGGTTTCCATGACCAACGACAGAAAGAAGTATTTGCTCGAGCGAGGAAGGCTGTCAACATTGAAACTCCGGATCGCTGGATGCCCTCCTCCTCAAGGCCAAGGCCTATATTTAGTACAAGGAGAAAGCAGCTGCCAACAACGCTCAAAACTCATGGTACCACGAAAACACAAGAGTTTCGAGGCACGATGACCACCAAGCGCCTCGCGAGGAGAGGAGAAAAGAAAAGAAGATGACCCCCCCCCCCCCCCACAATCTCAGGAATACAAAGGACCTATCGACTGTTTCGTCGAATACACACCGTTGATCGCTTCTCATGGGCGTATTCTATCCGAATGCGCGAAATTGGAATATTTCCAGGACAAAGTCTGTTTTCCTAGGCAAACACCTCTTAAGCCTACAAAGGACAATACCAAGTACTGCCGTTTCGACAAAAGCAACAAGCACGTTACTGAAGAGGGCATCCACCTCAAGGATGCGATTGAGATACTCATCAAGGACGGGAACTTGAAGCAGTACACCAGGAGAAGAGAGGATCCTCTGAAAGACGCATGAGAAGCGAAGAAGGTCAAGGAGGAAAGGCCACCCTCTGACGACACCGCCAACCTGCAGATTGCCATGTCCATCTCTCGACCTAAGGATTTCTACATCCTCGACGGGACCGAAAACCCCCTCAATCATACCCCAAATTTGTCCTACCCTTTCATTCAAATCATATGGCTTGCGTATCTCACATTCCTCATGTATATAATCTCCATTAGGTCATCTAACACATCATGCATTTATTAATAACAAGCTTGGTATATTGGATCAATAATCAGAGAGAATTAGGGTTTACATAGTGCATCAGGGTTTCACTGTTTTGCAGGTTTGGTTCAATAGAAAATGGAAATTTCAAGGATTGGGGTTTCTCCCCGGTGCTTATGGTTATTGTTCTGGACTGGGCCGACACTTGGCCACAGACGAGCAGGCCCAACCCCACATCGGGTTGGAAGGACCAATAAGAACTAAACCGCCTCCCCATCGGGCAGATCCATCTCTCCTGTCGGGCAGAATCCTTTCTCCAGTCGGGTACAAACCTCTTGACAGCCGAGCAGGCACCTCACATCTGCCAGCATTCTCCCCCTTCTGCCCAACCATCGGCAGACCCTATCCAGCTCGGGGGATCCTCTGACCTCCCCCATGTTTTCAACGTATCCCCTACACGGAGACACGATATCGGTAACTACCTGTGCCCTGATTATTCGGTCCTCCGCCTCCCAAATAGCAAGGAGTAGTTACACTAGGGCGAAGACCACTTGCTAGTCTTCCTGATGCCATGCCAGCCCTAGCAGTTACCAGCATTGGGCCTGGCAGCGCAGCCCAACGCGAAGTAACCGTTGACCATGCGCTAGGGGCACACTATAAATACCCTCTTTCACTAGAGGGTCAGGGAATCTCATTCTTACTTCTCTTTCTGTACTTGTTATCACTCTTTCCGACTCTTACTTTGGCATCAGAGTGTGTTTCAGGTACACCCCATCCATTCTCCTCAACAGTCAAACAGCTCAGACGTGCGGCCGACTAGTGACTCCTTCTGATCAGGTGAGATCAGTGGCGCCGTTTGTAGGAAACTAAAGCTTCTTCATTCTTCTGAGAAGTAGAACCAAAGCTTTCATCAACTTTTACGATCATGGCCAGCCCACGCCACGACTATGTTGTCCATAACTCCGCCTTCGACCCGCTCACCAACAGCGAAGATCATGGTGGGCTTGCAATGACCATGATAGTGAAATTAGGGATGAGCAAACTGCCTCTCCTTCACCTGACGATGCGACACACAACATCGCCCCTCTTCGCAGCCATCAATCAGACCAACTTGATGTTGTTCCAGCAGAACTAGCATATCGGGATGCTAGAACAAGATCGTCCATCTCACTCTCCCCCGCAGAGAACCCAGCGCGAGGATTCCCGGAGCCCCTCTCCCCGTCAACGGGGGCACCGACCACAATTGGAGAGGCCCCAAACTGTGGCCTCCAAGAATCGCGAGAGGTCACCTCCTTGAAAGGAGAGGTGCTCCCTAACCCCGAGGAAGAGCAGACCAGACGGTCCGAGCAAGAGGACGAAGGGTCGCGACCAGGTACCTCGATGCAATCCTTCCCTCTCACGCTTCCCTGTCTGAAGTGACGAGGACAGTCATCAGACTCCATTGTCGCAGGACATCATGGAGACCCCCATCCCCCACGGGATGGAGAAGTCGCCTGCCTTCCCCACCTACGATGGCACGATAGACTCATACGACCATCTAGAAGACATCGGAGCCATGCTCGACTACCGAAACATGCATCTAACCCTTTCAAGGATTGTTCGATTGAATCTCTCAGCTAAGCCATTTTGTTGAGGAGTACCTGCTATAGTCTTATGCCTTGCAATCACAGACTCAACACAGTAACTGTTGAATGCTTAGTTGCAGAATTCATGGTCATTGTCGGTTATCAACCTCTTAACCTTTCTGCTAGTTTAAGTTTCGGCCAGAATCTTCCAACTTTTGAAATTCTCAAAAGTTTCATCCTTTGTCTTATGAATGAATACCCATAGCTTTCTGGAATAGTCATCAATGATGGATGGAAAATACCTTGCACTTGAGTGTGAAGGATTTTTTGCAGGCCCTCAAAGATCAACATGAATGTAATCTAGGGATCCATGTATTCTTTGATTGCCTTTGTTAAACTTCACCCTACAGGATTTACCAAATACACAAGATTCACAAAACTCCAACTTTTCGACTTTGTCACCTCCTAGCAGGTTCTGCTTCCCCAATTCGACCAGGCCTCTTTCGCTGACATGCCCCAATCTCATGTGCC